ATTCCGGCGCGCTTCGCGCGCAAAATTCAAAATTTTTCCCCCCCCCTACAGAATCCTTATATCCGCCCCTGTATGTACCGCCTTGAAAATCATATTGGACACTAAAAAAAGTCCTGTAGAAGAAAATTATCAATAACATAATAAAAAATTGAAAAAATGTTGTCTTTGTTTATATTCTTTAATTTCTAATTTCTAAAATTTTCTTGTCGTCAATGTAGTTTATTAAGATCTTAAATAAATCTAAAATGGAAAGGACATTATTTAGAAGTAAAAATGTATTCTTCATTGCCCATACTTTTTTTCTATTAAAAAAAAACTTATAATTATCAATAAAAAAAATCCATTATATGATGTCCTCGACTCATTTTATAGAGGGTCACTTATCCTTACAGAGATTCATTTTTATTTATCTTATCAACCATTTTTATTCAGGGGCAGTTTCAGGAGTTGGCTCATATGACCTGGTTTAATTACGAACCCCCCTCCCCCTCCTGGCAACCTTGATAGACGCTAATTTTCCAGGAGAGGTGGGATATTGGGAACGGGGCTTCCTAAAGGGAACCAGTTTAATATTTTCATAAAAAAAAGTATGTTAAAAGAAATTGAGTCCTAATATTTGGCACTAAAATGCCCAAAGCACCTTAAATTCCAATGACATTTTCTTTGGAACCTAATAAAATGATAAGACCTTAACTCCCGAATTTTTTTCCCTGATTTGCTAACAAAGATTCTCACTAAAAGGGGGAATATTTTTAATTGCCCCCGATCATGCATTTCAGAGTCAATCAAGAAAGCAATTGGGTTTGAAAAGAAAGAATTCAGAAAAAATCTGTGAAATGAAAAAAAACAGAAAAAAGTTCGAAATAAATTGAAAACTTGAAAAAAAGCTCGTTGGAAATAAAGTTGCAATATGCTTTATTGTCACAGAAGTTTTTCGTACACTTCACCATATGTCGTTATCCAGAACTTTCATTTATCCACCAATTTCATTTATTTACCAATTTTTTATTTACCAATTTTATTTATCCACCAATTTTTTTATTTACCATTTCTGTTACTCACCGCTTTTAAAAAATTTTTTTTACCATTTTCTTTTTTACCATCTTCATTTTTTCACTCTTTTAATTTATTCACCATTCTCATTTATCAAACATTTCAATTTATTCACCATTTTCATTTATCAAACATTTCAATTTATTCACCATTTTCATGTATCCATCTTTTTCATTTATTCACAACTTTCATTAATCTAATATTTTCATTTATCTATTTTTTTCATTATCTAATAGTTTTATTCATTCACTATTCATATTTATCTAACATTTTTATTTATTCAACATTTTCATCTATCCACAATTTTAATTTTCTAACATTTTCATTCATCTAACTGTAATTAATGCCCTACTCCAACAAATACTTTCAGATCAGTACCAATCCAGGTATAAACTTAAATATCCTTAGGTATCTGTCTCACAAGATACAAATGAAAAGGGGGCCTAAGCTGAAACTTGAGAAGCTCAGAAGCTCATTGAGACCTATAAGAGTTCTGTCTGATATTCGTGTCGTGTCTTGAGAAATTGATGTAAAACTGTGTCAAAGTTATTTTGTATAAGATTCATAATATTAAACAGATCATATTCAACAAATATGCATTCCTTTATAAAAAGCTGATTTTTTGGTATGCAACAATTTTCATTTAATTGATTTTATATTTTAATTATAAAATTAAGATTTTACAAAGGAATGTCACTTACCCTCAGACAAATAAGAATCAATGGAAATTTAGACCCCCAAGGGATTCAATGATAAACCCTTGGGCTGCGCCCTCGGGCTGAGTAAATGATACAACCAATCTGAAAACGACAATATCCCAGAGCAGCCTGAGAAACTAAGGTGTGTTGCTATTATTATTTGAATTCAATAATTTTTGAATTTTAATAAATATAATCGATAATATTACCTTTACTTCCTGTGGTAATTTCTTACAAACAAAAATGTATGATTGGCAAACTTAAATTAGCAAACTATGATAAGATCACACCTCAAGTTAGCTAACCTTTATGTCATCAATTATCTTTGCTAATAGATAACATCATACATCGGGTTATCTCCTCACCCGGATCAAACCTTTATACGATCACTTATCTTTATAACCTGATAACATTATACATCGGGTTATCTCCTCACTCGGATCAAACCTTTATACAATTACTTATCTATGCAATATTTAACACCCATATTAATAAACATATTCTAATTTGATTAATTACATTTATTTCACATATATTCATAAATGTATACATAATCACAATATAAAGATAAATAGATTGTTTAATGATCAGCTATGATCCTTTTACATATTACGTTCATTAGCTTGACCTTTGAGCACTTTCTCAGTTAAGTCTCAAGAGCATGACTAATATATTAGTCAGTCCATCAATCAGATCTTTATCTCTTTTATTCCAGGTTGGCTGGTTGACACGCTCCTGCATGATCTGGAGCATATCTACAACCTGGTTGAACAACCTGGTACTGATCTCATCTCTACTTGAGTCAGGGTGCAGTTTGTACTCTCGCTCCCAAGCCCTCCCTGTGTCCCATACATCAATATGTGGGTCAACAGGGGGCTGTTGGGAGCCTGCGCCCCCAGGAGTGGGGTACCGAAGGTCTTTAACCTCCTTATGAAGTTCCTCCAAGTTATTTAGGACGTTCTGCAGTATCTCTAATAGATCCTCCTTCACATCCCCCTCATCCTCGTCCTCTACTACGTCCTCAGCTACATCTCCGTCCTCTGAGGCTGGGGCAGTGACAATGGGAGCATTCCCACTGACAAGAGGAGTCAGGTCTGCTGGATCAACTCCATCTTCATCCAGTTCAACTTCTGCAACATAAGCTGGGTTGCATTCTATCATGGGTACTTGATTCATCTCTTCTTGACTGTTCACCCTTTTCTGGTTCAGTCCAGAATACAACATTCCAAACTATGTCACCAGATCTCCAACCAATGGCAGTGCAGTATTATTGTCATGTGCCTCCCATCTGTATCACATGACCAGTATACTGCACTGTCATTGGAGGGAGTTCTGGTCATGTGATACAGACATACATTTTGGTATAATTTTGACACAGTTTTATCACAATTTCTTGAGACAGGAACATCACATAGATGTCTTATATGTATCGTTCAACTCCTGAGATTCTCAGGTTTCAGCCTATACCCCCTTTCATTTTTTCCTTTACAGTCTCTTTAAGTCAATATTAAACCAGATACAACCCTATTAGAATTCTCAGGTATTTCTCTTTCAAGATACAACTCGTGCTGACTATCAGCTAAACTCAGTCTATATCGATCCAGATATGACACTGTAGTATTTTTTAGGTGTGTGTATTTCAAGATAAGCCTCACTTTAATACCTTATTCTGTAATCAATCCAGATACAACTCTCTCTATTTCCTAGCCTTTATCTATCTTTACCTCAGGTCAGTCTTGTTTCCCTACACAAGGAATAAAATTACTCTAACACTGTAATTAAGCAAAGTTTTACTCCAACTAAAGTATATTTTAAGTTTTATGCTACAGGTTTGATTAATGAATGTATTTACAAATTTTACATAGTTATTTACAAGCGCAGTTAGGTTTACAGATAATGTGCAACGTAATATATCTATGCATGTTCAGGTTTCTGAATATGGGGTTTTCTACGATATTTATTATTACATAACACTTTCCTTTACTCGCCATTTTCATTTATGCCTCATTTTCAGTTATTCACCATTTTTCATTTATCTAACATTTTCAGTTATCCAATATTTATTTACTTATGATTTTCATTTATCTATATCATTTTCATTTATTGGCTATTTTCATTTATCAAACATTTTCATTGATCCATTATTTTCATTTATTCACCAAATTATAATTTATCCATAATTTTAGCAGGGGCATATTCAGAGAGGAGGGGGGCATTCGGGGATAAGCTTTTCCTCTGAATCAGTAAAGTCTATGATTTTCTGGGTTTTTTGACCCCCACCCCATGGACAGAAAAAAAGTCAAGCCTGAATACTCCCTGATTTTTAGTTATTTACAATTTTCATGGTATTTTCATTTATATATAA